TACTTCAACAGAAAGAAGTGAGAAATGCCCTGATATATCAATAGAAAAGACCAAAATAATAAGGTCTTCAGGATTGGGCTCTAGTGTGGCCTCCCTATTCTTTCCCCTAAATAAATGAGTTGCTGCAGAGAGATGGATTCCTTGCCTCAGTTCATTGTGTGAAATATATTAAATACAGTCTTCTGGACATACAGTCCAGTGACTTCAGGTTAGAGATTTAAGGATAGGACATGGTGACTGAGGACATTCTTGCAAGACAATTCATGCTCAACCAAGCTGGTTGGGTTCTGTAGAATTTACAACAACTGCATTGTTGCTCAGACATATCAGAACCCCATAACAGGTTGAACTGAAGCTGAAGAGAAGCTTACACCAAAGCTGTAAAGTTATCTAAGGCTGTTATCCCTAACTTTCAGTCTGAGGGCCCTTTCAGACAGGCCCTATATTCCAGGATCTGATCCCAGGTTTTCTGTTTATCCCAGATTATCTGGCAGTGGGGACTCATATAATCCAGTTTAAAGCAGAGAACCTGGGATCAGATCCTGGGATATAGGGCCTGTCTGGAAGGGCCTGGAGCTAAACCACTGACATATAAAAAGACTGCAATCACACTCAGTCTTGTATCTCTGTTCTGAGAGGTAGGACTAGAATTAATAGCCCATAATATGAAATCTACTGTTAATATTGTAGTTTTGAAATAGATGTGAGGTTGATGTGGCTCTGCAGTCAAAAAAAATCATACCTTTCCAATTGCAACAGACATCAAGCTACCCAAGCCAAACTCAATGTTGAGTAACATTCAACACCTGAGTGGTCAGTGTGGCTCCATAAGAAATAAAAAGGCAACAAGGATGGAATGTGTCAAGGATCGTGGTTTAGGAACAGGACAAAGAAGACCAAAACTGAAAAGGTCAAAAAGTGGACATGAAAAGAACAGGCATGGTATAACGCTGATACCCAAAATGTATATGTCTCCAGATCAAAAGTATAGAGTCACAATTTTTTTACTGTATCAGAAGCGACTTGAGAACCTGCAAGTCACTTCTGGTGTGAGAAAATTGCCCATCTGCAGAGTCATTGCCCAGGGATGCCCGGCTGTGTTACCATCCTGTGGGAGGCTTCTCTCATGTGCCCGCATGGGTAGCTGGAACTGACAGATGGGAACTCAACCCATCTTGTGGATTCAAACCACTGACTTTCAGGTCAGCAGTTCAGCCGGCACAAGGGTTTAATCCATTGCGCCATCACAGTTCCTTATGTATTCAAATAAGTCTTTTTCATTTCAGCACCTTCCACATGTGTTACACTACAGCTTCCACTAGCTTCAACCAATGGTTGACTGGGGATAATGGGCAGTGCATTCCAACCCAACTAGAGAGTGTCGACTTCAAAACTCAGTTAGACATTATCTGAATCCAGCTTTCACTCACACACACATATTAGTTGCACGTTAGCCCTTTGAAAAACGTTCCCTTGATGAAATGCAAATCAATAACAAGAGCAACTTTGAATCTTTAAAATCAGCTGCATGGTCAATTCCCCTTCTCATGGGTAAAGCAATGTTTCCTGTTGTTTTAGGAAGAGGGGGCTTCTTCAAGGAAGAATTTAATTCCAAACATTATCAAAAAGATTAAGCAATGAAAGATGCTACTCTAAAGACATAATCCAACGTAAATCCCATAATCAGCCCCAAAAGCTGGCAAGCTGTGCAGTCAGAAATCACAGGGAAGAAGCTCAACGTGCTCACCAGTATATTAAAAATGCCACTGTTGGACATGAAATGGGATTGCACTTCAGGAAAACAATGGTTTAAATAAGACACAATCATTGCATCTGGTGCAGATTCCAGCTTTTTGCTTCCCCCTAGGATATTAAACACACTCATTTAAACGTAAATCCCTCTTTTATTCAAACAAGCATAATCCCAAATAAGAATGCTCAGGATAACAGTTCAAGAAGGAATATAAACCTTTATCACTTTAATGTAAACAGCATACAAAGCTGGGTCGTTGTAGGTTTTTCGGGCTATATGGCCATGTTCTAGAAGCATTCTCTCCTGACGTTTCGCCTGCATCTATGGCAAGCATCCTCAGAGATGGCCTCACAACCTCTGAGGATGCTTGCCAAAGATGCAGGCGAAATGTCAGGAGATAATGTTTCTATAACATGGCCATATAGCCTGAAGAACCTACAACAACCCTAGTGATTCCAGCCATGAAAGCCTTTGAGCATACAAAGTTTCTAAAAAGTTCCTGCTTCTTATCAAGTACAAAAACAAAACAAAACCTTCTTAAGTACAACTGTTACTTCCTGGACTACAGATGCAACACGGTAAAATGTTACAAGGCTCCCACCCTGGACATTCCACAGATATATATACCTAATTTGCCTAGTTTCCAATAGACTTCACAACCTCGGAGGATACCTGCCATAGATGTGGGTGAAATGTCAGGAGAGAATGCTTCTGGAACAAAGCCATACAGCCTGGAAAACTCACAGCAACCCACTGTTGCAAGGCTCATTGCTGCAAAGAGGAGTATCCCTACCCTGGAAATAAACTTATCAAAGCCAGCAGAAAAACAAACTCCTAAGGCAAACAACTTCTCAAGTCAAAGGCATCCTACTATTATGCTGTGGCTCAATCCTCTTGCTTAATCAGTTCCAATCCAATAGTCAGGAAATATCTTTGAAGAAAAACAAGATTTCCTGCCAGTCGATTTCCATAATCACTTTGTTTCTAATGGAAGGGGAAAGAGGTTTACCAGCTAGTGAACGACAGGAGAGCTAACAAGGGTAACATAGCGCTTTTATCACATTTTATTCCTCCTAACTGTTACGGTGTGCGTGTCAGACGGAGAGAGAGAAAGAATAATCTGTGGGTGTATGAAAACACACAGAAGTAAATGCAAGATGATGTGTCTCTCGAAGTGCTCCGATCCCTCTGTTTCTTTGAAGAAGAACAATGTGAAGCGTCCTGCCTGTGACAGAAGAACAAACCACTCTCGTCCGCAGGATTGTGTTCAGTCAAGGCTATCATTTGCTGGCATTCCTGGAGAGATGTTTATTTGGTTCAGCCTTCAGATGGGAGCGGCAGTCCTTACAGCAGCGATGGGGATGGATCTAAAAATAATTCAGGTGGCACCCTGTGTGAGCTAGCCTGCGGTCTCAATCTAGGCACACTTATGTGTGGGCAACTCCTATGGGATTGGTCAGGACTTGGGTAAACAGGGGGAAGACCAGGATCTAGGACCCTTGAAAGTATGGAGCTATAATATTCAAGCTGAGAGGAGTCTTTTCCACAGCAGCTCAAACTGAATTCTCCCTCTTTCTTCTGAAGCATGGCAGGAGTTGCCATTGAGAGCAAAAGCAGTGGTGCCTAAACGGGTTTTAGAAATGGATCGGAGAAGGCTTTGGGGCTGTGAGTAGGTGCTTTTTCCTTGCAGGGACCTCAATTCCAGCCTCATATAGAGGTCCCAATCCAGAGCTGCATGCCGCAAGCAGGACAAATATGCCAAAATTGGGGGGAGAGGGAGACTTTGCCAGCTCCAGCAAAGCAGGGAGGGAGTATTTATTTCTTTAATTTATGTGTCGCTTATCTCAGGGCCCTTCCACACAGCCCTATATCCTAGAATATCAGGGCAGAAAATTCCACAATATCTGCTTTGAACTGGGTTATCTGAGTCCACACTGACATACATTCCAGTTCAAAGCAGATAATGTGGGATTTTCTGACTTTATATTCTGGGATATAGGGCTGTGTGGAAGGGCCCACAGAGTGGGACCCAAAGTGGCTTCCGAAGCCATGCAATGAAATCATTCTATACCAGGCATGGGCAAGCTTGGGCCTTCCAGGCGTTTAGGTCTTCAACTCCCACAATTCCTAACAGCCTACTGTTAGGAATTGAAGTGAGTTGAAGTCCAAAACACCCAGAGGGCCCAAGCTTTCCCATGCCTGTTCTATACCATTTGAAACTGTGATCATGCCCTTTTAAAAATGTTTATATTTTTCAAAAATGTAACTTAACCCCCCAAAAAAATAGAAAGCATAGATACCAAAATAGAAAACAAAACCAAGGAATCAAATACAAAAATGATCCCATAGTCCTTCCAACCCATGACATACATCCCCCTATGCGTTACTAATAAAAACTAACAAATAAATAACTATCCTCCTCCTTAAATACTTTTTAAATACAATTAAAAACACAATTGTATGCATCATACACTTCTTAAAAGCTAGCAAAAAAAAAATCCCAATTCAAATGAGCAGAGAAACATGATGTGCCTAGTCTACATTGTAGAATTGATGCAGTTTGACACCACTTTAACTACCCTGACTCAAGTGTATGGAATTGCGAGAGCTCTAGCTTAGTTAAGCACCAGCCTTATTTGGCCTTGTTAAACAGCAATTCTCAGGACTCCATAGGCTTGAGCCATGGCAGTTAAAAGTGGTATCAAAGTGCATTAATTCTAGTGTGGATGGGACCTCATCACACTAGAGAATGAATCCACTTTAAATCCGGTTTCTGCCTCTTGCAGAATTCTGGGGTTTGTAGTTTAGAGGAAAGCCTTTAACAGCCTCACTAAACTACAAACTCCAGAAATCTGCAGGAGGCAGAAACTGGATTTAAAGTGGATTCATTCCCTAGATGTCCACCTCCAACCACAAGGAACACATCGCTCATCTCAGACACTGTAAACAAGTCTGCCAGACAGAACCTTTAGGCTCAGGTGAGGTGCATCTACACTGTAGAATTCCTGCAGTTTGACACCAGTTTCATTTCCATGGGTCAAGGGAATAGAATCATGGGAGTTGTGGCTTCAAAGGTTTTGGGCGCTCGCTCTCTCTCTCTCTGCCAAAGAGTGCTGGTGTCTCCTGAATCTCTAGATCCCAGGGGATGGAGCCAGGCCAGTTCAAGAGGTGTGGATGCGCCCAGGGGGAGGCTGGGAAGGCACCCTAGAACCCAAGGGGAGCGGGAAGACCCTGGTTCTCCTCTTACCGGCGTCGGGGCTCCGGGGTCTGCCGCTGTCCCGCAGGTAGTAGTTGAACTCCAGGCAGCCCTCGTGCTCCAGCGTCCCGTCGGAGCAGAGCTCCACCAGCAGCTTCAGCGCTTTCTGGCAAATCGCGTCCTCCCTGCCGCCTGGCATCGCTCCCCAGCATCCTTGTGAGTAGAGAGGGCGCGCTCCGGTCCTTCACACGCGCTTCCTCCGCGGCTCCGGCGCCCGGCGCGCCTCCTGACCTCCTTCTTCTCGCCGAGGCCACGGTGGAGCCGCCCGCATGCTTCGGAGAGGGGGAGGAAGGCGAGGGCGAGGAAGGAGCAGAGGCAAGAGCAGCGGCAGCAGCAGCAGCAGCAACGAGGCCCCCTTGCCGCCCGCCGCGCCCCCTCCCTGCCTCGCAACTTCGCCTCGGAGCTGCGGAGGAGCCGCCTTGAAACGGGGCGGGCCCGACACCAGTTGCGCCCCAGTCGGGACGCGCCTTTTGCCTCGGCTCCCACCTGCGCCCGAACAGCGGCCCCTCGCGGCAGGAGCCCTCTCTGCAGCTGAAGGGAAGGAAGGGAGGGAGGGAGGGAGGGAGGAAGGGAGGGAGGGAGGGAGGGAGGGAAGGAAGGAAGGAAGGAAGGAAGGAAGGAAGGAAGCAGTAGGGAGGGAAAGTTAGGAAGGAGGAGTTAAGGAAGGAGGGAGGGAAGGAAGGAGGAGGGAAAGGAAGAGGAGTAGGGAGGGAAGGAAGGAGGGAGTGAAGGAAGGAGGGAGGGAAAAGAAGGAAGGAAGGAAGGAAGCAGTAGGGAGGGAAAGGTAGGAAGGAGGGAGTGAAGGAAGGAGGGAGGGAAAGGAAGGAGGGAGGGGAAAGGAAAGAAGGAGTAGGAAGAGGAAGGAAGGAGGGAGTGAAAGAAGGAGGGAGGGGAAGGAAGGAAAGAAGGAGTAGGGAGAGGAAGGAAGGAGTAAGGAGGGGAAGGAGGGAGTGAAGGAAGGAAGGATGGAAGGGAGGGAGGGAGGAAGGCGTAGGGAGGGGAAGGAAGGAAAGAGGGAATGAAGGAAGGAAGGACCGAGGGAAGGAGAGAGGGGAAGGAAGGAAGGAGTAGTGAGGCAAAGCAAGGAAGGAGAGGAAGGAGGACGGAGAAGAAAGGAGGACGGAGAAGGAAGAAGGAGCAAGAAGGAAGGGGCTGTGTTGAGGGGCTCAGGTGCACATTGGGGACCCCTGCCTCAGTTTGCTGGAAGGGCCCCATAGGCCCCATCTACATTGCCTTATAATTCAATTTGAAATGGCCTTATATGGTTAGTATAAAGCAGTTAAACAGCCTTATAGAAGTCTACTGACTGTGTCATACAGTTTGAAACTGCATTATATGGCAGACTAGAATAATAATAATAATAATAATAATAATAATAATAATAATAATAATGCACTTTATATTCTGCCCTTCTCCCCAAGGGGACTTAGAGTGTATTACAGCATTTACACACAAAGGCAAACATTCAATGCCTCTACAATCATATACAAATGGGACACACAAATACAAACAAAGGCAGAGGCTTCTCCTTTTCAGTTCCGGCTTCTGGAGCTGATGCTTCATCTCTGATTGTGTGGCCGGCAAGATTGCTTGAAGCATCTCTTTGCCTTTCCCCACCAAAGTGGTACCTATTTATCTACTCATTTTCCATGTTTTCGGACTGCTAGGTTGTTAGGAACTGGAGCTGACAAATGGGAGTTCACACCATCTCATGAATGAGACTACCAACCTTGAGGTCAGCAGTTCAGCAGCACAAGGGTTTAACCCATCACACCACCATGGCTCCTAGTCTTTAATTATTTTGTGTGTGTGAAGTATGTACTTATAGGGCATGGTTTGCTTTCTGACTTCAGAGCATTGATAACAAGCATTGATGACATACAGACATTCAGCTCCAGTCTACGAAGGAGGCCTACGTGCGCATCTTCACCCAGAGTGTTTCTGGGTGCATCTACAAGGGGGAATTAATGCAGTTTGGAGCCTCTTTAACTTCCTTGGCTCAGTGCTATGGAATCCTGAGAGTTTGATGAAGCACCAGAACTCTAGCAGAGAAGACTTAAAAACCTTGTAAAATACAGTTTCTGTGATTTCATAACATTGAGCCATGGCATTAAAGGGGTGTCAAATGAATTATCCAGTGTTGACTTGCATTTCATAGGGTTTCTAAGGGAGCATCTACATGGTAGAATTAATGCAGGTTGATACAACTTTAACTGCCAAGGGTCAATGCTATGGAATCCTGGGAGTTGTAGTTTTGTGAGGCACCAATCAATCATTTGTAGAGAAGGTTAAAGGCCTTGCCGTTTCGGGAAATGAGAACGACATATGCCCTCCTTCAGTCTGCAGGACTTCTTGTGTTCTCAACCATTTTTAAAAAGATTATTGGAATGACCTTTGAATGCAGCTCATCCAGTCCTGGAGACCTGAAATTATTCAGAAAAGCTAGGTATCCCTTTACTACCTCTTTACTTATTTTGGCTTGCAGTCCCTGTATTGCATGATTTATTCTATTGCTATCAGTAAAACAGCAACACTTTTCATGTCGAGAGCAAACTGGGTCTCCTACAAGTATTCTTTATGCAGTAGCCCTCTTATTTCCTTGTTCTTTCTCTTGCTCTGTACATAATCTCCTTTTATTATCCCTTACTTTTCTAGTGAGATAGAGCTCATTTGGAGCTTTTTCCAAATATTTGTTTTACAAGTCTTGGTATTTGAGTGTATTCCTTTTTGGTAGTTTCGCTTTCTTCCATTTCTTATACATGTCTCTTTTCAGTCTCTCCTCAATTGATGGTTAACACTCATAGAATCATAGAATCATAGAATCAAAGAGTTGGAAGAGACCTCATGGGCCATCCAGTCCAACCCCATTCTGCCAAGAAGCAGGAATATTGCATTCAAATCACCCCTGACAGATGGCCATCCAGCCTCTGTTTAAAAGCTTCCAAAGAAGGAGCCTCCACCACACTCCTGGGCAGAGAGTTCCACTGCTGAACGGCTCTCACAGTCAGGAAGTTCTTCCTAATGTTCAGATGGAATCTCCTCTCTTGTAGTTTGAAGCCATTGTTCCGTCCTAGTCTCCAAGGAAGCAGAAAACAAGCTTGCTCCCTCCTCCCTGTGGCTTCCTCTCACATATTTATACATGGCTATCATATCTCCTCTCAGCCTTTTCTTCTTCAGGCTAAACATGCCCAGTTCCCTAAGCCGCTCCTCATAGGGCTTGTTCTCCAGACCCTTGATCATTTTAGTCGCCCTCCTCTGGACACATTCCAGCTTGTCAAAATCTCTCTTGAATTGTGGTGCCCAGAATTGGACACAATATTCCAGATGTGGTCTAACCAAAGCAGAATAGAGGGGTAGCATTACTTCCCTAGATCTAGACACTATGCTCCTATTGATGCAGGCAAAAATCCCATTGGCTTTTTTTGCCGCCACATCACATTGTTGGCTCATGTTTAACTTGTTGTCCACGAGGACTCCAAGATCTTTTTCACACGTACTGCTCTCGAGCCAGGCGTCCCCATTCTGTATCTTTGCATTTCATTTTTTCTGCCCAAGTGGAGTATCTTGCATTTGTCACTGTTGAACTTCATTTTGTTAGTTTTGGCCCATCTCTCTAATCTGTCAAGATCGTTTTGAATTCTGCTCCTGTCCTCTGGTATTGGCTATCCCTCCCAATTTGGTGTCGTCTGCAAACTTGATGATCCTGCCTTCTAGCCCTTCATCTAAGTCATTAATAAAGATGTTGGACAGGACCGGGCCCAGGACGGAACCCTGCGGCACTCCACTTGTCACTTCTTTCCAGGATGAAGAGGAAGCATTGGTGAGCACTCTCTGTGTTCGTCCACTTAACCAATTACAGATCCACCTCACCGTAGTTTTGCCTAGCCCACATTGGACTAGTTTCCTTGCCAGAAGGTCATGGGGAACCTTGTCGAAGGCCTTACTGAAATCCAGGTACGCTACATCCACGGCATTCCCCGCATCTACCCAGCTTGTAACTCTATCGAAAAAAGAGATCAGATTAGTCTGGCATGACTTGTTTTCGATAAATCCATGTTGACTATTAGCGATGACCGCATTTGTTTCTAAGTGTTTGCAGACCACTTCCTTAACAATCTTTTCCAGAATCTTGCCTGGTATCGACGTGAGGCTGACTGGACGGTAGTTGTTTGGGTCATCCCTTTTTCCCTTCTTGAAGATTGGGACCACATTGGCCCTCCTCCAATCTGCTGGAACTTCTCCCGTTCTCCAAGAACTCTCAAAGATGGTTGCCAATGGTTCCGAAATGACTTCCGCTCATTCCTTCAATACTCTTGGGTGTAGTTGATCTGGCCCTGGGGACTTGAACTTATTAAGAGTGGCCAGGTATTCCTGGACGACTTCTTTCCCAATTTGGGGTTGGATGTCCTCCACTCCGAGATTCTTTAGACGACTCCCACTTTCTACCTTATTGGAATATTGTTTGCGCATTCAATCTCATATTTAAGAAACTTTGATGAACCATGAGTTCTATTTCTTTTTTGTTCTTCAGAACATAAAATGTCACCAAATATTTCCTAAAGTGTACTGAAATCAGTTTTGGCGTTTCCTTTCCTCTGTATAACAAATACCAAGAGGATATGATCACTCACACCTAAAAGTCCCACTACCCCTTCTCATTCATCTTGGTTGGTTAGAATTAAATCCAAAATAGTCGGTCTCTTTGTTGATTCCTCCATCTTTTTTACAAAGAAATTGTCTGCAAGTCTAATGAGCAATTAGTTGGACTTTACTTTGTGTAACTTCCAACAAGAGTGCTTGAAGCCCCCTAATTCTACCATCTCTCTCTTTTTAAGTATTTGATTATTTATTGTATTAATATACCGTTTTTCTCACCTCTGGGGGGACTCAAAGTGATGCAAATCAAATGGCAAAAATTCAATGCTTCACATATAATAAACAATGTGTCACACATCTACAACAATAACAATAAGATATAACCATAAATTAAAACTATAAAAACATTAACATGAGTATGAAACATTTGGCATTGCACAGATCTCAAGGTTGTCATCCATCTGCTGCGCCGTTTTTGTCACACACTGAATGCTTGTTTACATAATCAAGTTTTGGGATGTTTTCTAAACACTAAGAGGGAGGGGGGATCTAATCTCACTAAGGAGAGAGTTCCACAGCCAAGGGGCCACCACTGAAAAGGCTCTGTAATGGCAGCAGGACCGAGAGCAGGATCTCCCCAGCTGATCTTAATACTCTGACTGGCTCATAAAGGGAGATATGTTCAGATAGGTAAGCTGGACCGGAACCATTTAGGGATTTCT